AAATTTTGATAGATATTCTCACCTCCGAGAAGGTTATACTCATTTATACTTCATTTGACTTGCACCGTACGAGACTCTTTATTTCCCTGTACTCTCTAATTTTACGAATTTTAAGGCTTGTACAGCCTAGCTTTCTGTTTTGATTGGTAGCTTGGGAAACTGGACCTGATACACAGGCCTGGCACTTTTGATCTTCATTTCTCTCACTGTCAATCATATTCGAATCACAGCCTCCCTGATTGGTTCATTCCAAATAGCGTCCTGACTGCATTATGGGATGGTGCTTGGAAAATTTGAGCTAATCATCTATTAAATCACGTTTTATCCTTCCTGCTGGTGTTGCCCAAGGACTCCGTTCTCTCTGAGGACAGAATTGGCCCGGATCCTCACTCAGATATGTCTTCTTTCGGAGTCACTGTGGGCAGAGTGGAGAGCGGCTCCTGTCTTTGCCCCGCACCTGGTGTAGGCGTGAACTTAGGCTGCTCTGGTCGCCTGCTTGCTAGACGTCTGGTGACCGCTCAGCTTGCGCTTCGAGGAGGCAGAGGGCGCGGAGGTGGACGGCCGGGCCTCCAGTCCTGTCCCTTTGCTGTTGGCTCTGCTTGTGCACCCTGGTGCCCCAATTCCTGGCATGGTTTGGGGGCGCCACGCTCCCCGGATTCCCATTACGGACCCTGGCCTGAGTGGCTCTGGAATTCTGCTGCACTTGACCGGCAAGCCAGCAGCTGGGCTTGCTGCTACCCTGAGGCCATTATGAGGCATCTCCTTCTGGGAGTTATATTGGTCAGGGAACTCATATCTCTCGCCCCCTGTGAGGCTCCTCTTAATATTCCTCTCAGCCTCGGTCTGCATTTCTCTCACTCCACCTCCCACATGCTGACTTTTTGCTTTCACGAATAGCTAGTCTCCTTGAACAACTTTTATAGAAGCTTAAAGGTAACATTCTTTGCATCTATAGAGTACTTTTCTTCAAAGCACTTCCATATACATACTATCATTTGATCCTCACAAGAACCCTTTCAGGTATTTGGGTTAGGCATATATCCTGATTTCACTGACAAGGAAATGGTGACAGTGATTAGGCAACTTGCCCATCCTCAGGTGCTTAGTTAATGTGGACCTGATATTAGAGTGCAGGTTGTTTTCATCTGGAGATTTCAATCATTCATTCATTCATTCATTCATTCATATACTCTTATTATATTGAGAGGCGGCAGAAAGGATAAACTTTAATGCCACCCCTTATTAACTACATGACCTTTGTCATGTACTTAACCTTTCAGAAGATCAGTTTCCTTACTTGTCATATCGGGAAGGATTATAACTTACAATGTTTATATGTGATTTAATAATACATGAAAATTATCTGGCAATAGTAGTGTCTGGCATATGGTAAGTTACAGGTAAAATGTTATTATAAATACGTAACATGTAAAATCGGTTACTGTTATAGGTAAAAAGTGGTCAAATACTGACAATTTCATAATGGCAGAAATTCAGTGGCTACCACTTATTGAGTCCTTCCCTATTGTGTATGAGGCCCTGCACAGCCCCCAGCCTGGGCACAGAGGTGGGAAAAGGTCTTCTTTGTGTGTCTCTCTGTTCTGTTAGACAGTGGGTGAGAGAGCCCGTGTCTGTTGCATTCCTCAGACCAAGGACAATGTTTACTGGGCAGTAGGTGCTCCATAAATGCTTACTGAGCCTAACAGGCCCCCACCTGCAAGGAGAATACCACCTAGTTAAGGTAAGCAGTCACATAGTCATATAATTGTAACAGACTGTTAAAGGTATTTAGGTAGAGATACAGGCAGGCTATTGGGAGAGCCCAGAGGAAATAGTGCTCCATTCTACCAAAAGACAGTGAAGTCCAAGGGCGGGGGCGGCAGGGTGAGGGGGGCTGGGTGCACAGCCACATAAAGCTGCTGCACCAAGACTGGCTGTGGTCTGTCTGTGGAAGGAAGCAAAAGCAATTTGCTTACCTTGGACAGCACGCTTGCTTTCAACTAACCCCCTTCTAATGTGTGAAATTGAGTTTGTATTCAAAGCAGCTTCTTTGTTTGTCTCCCTGTCTGTCTGTTGCTGGTATCTCCCTTAATGTATTGCTTTCTAAAGTGCTCTACTCTATCCTGGGTACAAAAGAGACGCTCAGTAAAACCAGATTCTATTCTTTCAGTGTCACAACTAGCCCTTGAATAACAAAGTGTAATATATTGTGTGAGAAGAAATAGAGGAACACAGAGATATTTAAAAAAAAAAAAAAGAGCAAATAAAACATCAAAGTGGGAGAGTGTAGAGTGCATTAAAGTTAATAAACTGTCATGGCAGAATGGACCACTTTTCAGTGCGAAGGAATCTGATTTAGGGACTTGTAACTAACTGTAGGATTTGAATCTCATTGGAATGAAGTTAGCTGCTGGTTTTGCCAAATTCTCCATCTTTTGGTTCTCCTTGAGAACCGGTCTTTGAAACTGAACAGATTCGTATCACAATTATTATTTTGTCAATAGCTTTTTGAGATGCTAACCCTCTCTGTCTCCCTCCGGATAGTTAGTGCTGCTCACCCCCGTCTAGCACTGCTTTGCTTTAAGCTCTAGTAGGCAGAATGTGGGCCCTGGAGCTCATGTTAGGTTGGACACAGTCCATCAGCATGGGTTTCCAGGGCTCCTGTGGCCATTCCCTGTTTCCACAAGGACACGGAGGGACGCCTGGGTGGCTTAGTCGGTTGAGCATCCGACTTCGGCTCAGGTCATGATTTCACGGTTCGTGAGTTCGAGCCCAGCATCGGGCTCTGTGCTGACAGCTAGCTCAGAGCCTGGGGCCTGCTTCGGATTCTTTGTCTCCCTCTCTCTCTGACCCTCCCCTGCTCATGCTGCCTCTCTCTCTTGGAAATAAATAAAACATTAAAACAAAAATTAAGAAAAAAAGAATTAAAAAGGACACGGAGACCAGAAAATTGTCAGGAGTGAGCCACACTCAGGTGTGAACCACTGAGCTACTCGTCTTATTCACAAGTGACAGACAGGACGATCAATACACGTCTCCTTCTTGGCAGCGTGGAGGGATGACTACAGCAGCAAGAGCTCCAGAATGTTTTCTGCCAAGAACTGGAATGGATTTTGTGCTTCTCCAGCCACAAAATGTCCTCAGCATCTTACTCCCAAATCATTAATGCCCTTTTCAGTTGGTCTGTTCAGACTGAATGCTTCCTTATCTTTCTTTTCAACATCCTCATTGTTTTCTTTTTGTTAGTTGAACTCTCAAGGTTTGGAGATCCTAGTATCTCGCCTTTTCTTTCAGACAAGCAGATATTAAGCAGCATTTTCATCCTTGACCTTTGCAGAAGAATGAGAATCCCTGGTTCTGGTTTTGGGTGCAGTCTGTAGAATTTTCCTCAGAGAACAAAAATGCCATGTTTACATATTAGCACAATGGTATTACAATATCACTGACCTTGGGAAAATTACATAATTGTTTTGAGCTGCAGTTTCTCCACTTGAGAAATGGGGATAACAGATGACTAGTTTATAGGGTTTCTATGAGGACCAAAGAGATTGCATATAAAGAAACACCTGGCACAGCGCAGAGGGTCTAACAGATGTGTAATAAATGTTTACTTAAATCAAAATAATATAAGCAGGATCAGTTCTATTTAAATAAGAAGACCTCTTGGAGAATGGTGAAAAATGTGAAGAGACATGACCACACTCGGCAGGGAGCTGTGTCCTCAGCCTGGTGCACAGTGTAAGATTTAGGGGCATACGTGGAAGCAAAAGGAACGAATTTGCTGTGGGTAAAAGACGGTGAATTATGCTCAGATACGAGCCAGTCCTCTGGAGGAAGTCACTGCTGTAAGATACCATGGAAAATTTTTCTAAAGTGGTTCTAACATTACTACAGATACCAATAGTATTTGTCTAAATCACCATCCTCTGATGTATAACAAATCATAATAAAACTATCCCTTGTAATCATTGATGATGTGAGAGGTAGTGTGGCGTAATGCAATGGAATGCAAATTAGCCTACAAGCCAGAAGATCTGGATTCATGTCTGTTTCACTTAATTGGTACCTAGTCTTGGACTTCTTAGCTTCTTTTAGCCTTGCCTTTAACATCTATAAAATAGGAAAAATAATGTCTTTCTTACCTTTTTACTGCTGGAAAATTGTCAGGATCAATTGAGATTTTTTTTTTTTTTGGTTTATTTATTTATTTTGAGAGGGGAGAGGGGCAGAGAGACAGGGAGAGAGAGACTCCTAGGCACTGATGGTGCAGAGCCTGATGCAGGGCTTGACCTCACCAACTGTGAGATCACGATCGAGAGTCAGAGGCTTAAATGACTGAGCCACCCAGGTGCCCCAAGATGTTCTTTAAAGTACTCTCCATGAATTTTTTTTAAGGAGAAAAGTCAGTTACTAAAAGAGTTGCTGAGGAATTTCCAGGCTCTTGTTCTCGTTGAAGTGAACACAGAGTAGAGGGGCTTGTGCTTCTGTAGCTCCCTACAGCCAGCCTGTGCAGACCGTGTTTTGTTGCTAGCTTCTGCTGAGTGCATTTTGGCCTGCTCATTCACCAGGCCTCTGCCATCCCCTTGGCCCAGGAGAAATTCAGAGACGGACTATGGCAGAAGTGCCAGGGATCACACAGCAGCAGCAAGACCCCCTCTTGGAGATGCCTGCCTATGTGCCCTTGGTGTGGCTGCCTGGACCACTTGCATCCTCTTCTCTTTTCCCTCTGTTTGCTGCTGATGGCTATAGAATAGCTTTCCTTGTTCTGCTTAAGGATTTCTGGTGCTTTTGAAAGTTTTTTCCCCCCTTTCTCCCATTCTGCTGAGCAAACACAAGAGATCAGGGGCAAGGCTAGAAGATGGAAGTTGGGTTTGATGATCAGTGGAAGGAGATGAGGCCCTTGACTTACAGTATCCATTCCCTTCCGAGAGAGGATGTCCAGTAGTGTCGGTAATTTAACCACTCTCATTTTGTGTTTGCAGGGAGTCGACGAGTTGAAGATGAAGCCCAGAGCCGAGTGCTGTTCTCCCAAGTTCTGGTTGGTGTTGGCTGTCCTGGCCGTGTCAGGCAGCAGAGCTCGCTCTCAGAAGAGCCCCCCCAGCATTGGCATCGCTGTCATCCTCGTGGGCACTTCCGACGAGGTGGCCATCAAGGATGCCCACGAGAAAGATGATTTCCACCATCTCTCCGTGGTACCCCGTGTGGAGCTGGTAGCCATGAATGAGACTGACCCAAAGAGCATCATCACCCGCATCTGCGATCTCATGTCCGACCGGAAGATCCAGGGCGTGGTGTTTGCCGACGACACAGATCAGGAGGCCATTGCCCAGATCCTTGACTTCATTTCAGCCCAGACTCTCACCCCCATCCTGGGCATCCACGGAGGCTCCTCTATGATAATGGCAGATAAGGTAAAGGAGGGAATCGGGGAGGAGAACCTGGGCACTTGTATCGAGAACTAAATGATGCATGTGTCTTAATGCAAAACTTGATTATGCAAGAAAGTAACCAGAATGCACGGAGTAGGTGGATAGATCAGGAATCAGTTTCTCCCTTTGGAGATGAGCGTGAGGAAAAGATACTGGTATTCAGAGTTCCTGTTTGTCCATTTGTTTGCAAATGGATTTACTGAAATGACTAAGAGATGTTGAAGCTTGTAGTTCTTTCTGTGATGCATTTTCTTCCAATATGTAAATGTGTGTATGAATAGCTCCTTCAAATCTTTAAAATAAGGCGTGCTCTCTTCTTTTTTGGTAACACAAGTTCTCCCCCCACCCCTCCCCCCCCAGCTTCAGGACTATAAAAAGAAAAATCCCTTGTGGCAGATTGTTTATCTCCTTGAAGATACAAATGTCATGGGGGAGGTACTTCTTGCTAAGGTGTCCATGCACATCGCACATGGATCTACACATTGGAATGGATGTTAATCCACGGAACCAGTAGTAGCTGGCTGCCTTTTCTCCATGCTTAGATTGAAGGCGATGGTTCTTAATCCTGGTCGCACATTGGAATTACCTGAGGAGCTCTCAACACTACTCATGCCTGGGTCCCACCCCCAGAGATTCTGATCCTTAGCCTTGGATGCAGCCTGGGCATCTGGATTCCCACAAGCTTCCCGTGTGATTCTAGTGTGTGGTTAAGGTTGAGCACCTCAGCTTTAAGGCCTTATATAAATAGTAGACTCTTCTACATTAACATTCGATTAATTGTTCTCTGACAAGCTAATTATCATTGGACACTAATGCCTATTCTTTAATTGCATAAAGTGTTTTCTTTGTGGTTGTTTTGTTTTTACACTTTCCACCTATTCAGATATTTTTCCTTGCTTTATGGAGTACTGCTCATTGCTTAGGGACAGCACTTCTCACATAGGTATTGTCCTTTGCGGTTATTCATATCTTAGAATGATTCATTTCACCCCAGGGGCAGTTTTTATTGTTTTTCATGACGTTGGGTGTTTTAAATGGTCCCTACCTTTGCATTGTCATCTTATGCTTCTTATCGTTACTTTTGAAACTGTCTTTAGTTTTGTGCTTGAAAGACATGCTGTGGGGTTAATGATGTTTGGAAACACCCCAAAAGCTAGCACAGACACCACAGGCGTGCTCCTTGGCCAGCGGAGAACCATCACAGTGCCAGGTTGAGCAGGCTACAGTAATCATGCGCAATCATTACCGCCATCTGTCGGCAGCAGGCAGAAGTGACTCGCTTCTGTTGTGGAGCTTCCTTCATTCAGTCTAGGAAAGGTCAAGTTGAAGTACTAGGTGGAGGGATCTCAGCTGCATGTGAGAAAGGTGTTGTTCCATTCACAGGGGCACAGGAAAAGATGTTAGGAAACAAATTTTGGCACTAGAAGCCCATGCTAAGGGACGGGGGATAAACTTAAGCAGAATGGAAAATGTAGACCAACTGTGACTTCAGGTAGACTTTCTTAACATCGTTGCCCTCAGCTGATTATGCTGTATTTCAGCAGTGGTATTTTGAGGGCATGGTATTGCACGGAACGAATGCCAAGATGGATGAGCCAAATTTTTGAATCATAAATAAGTGTATAGTTATCTTGGGAGCATGACAAGTAAAAATAGTTTTTTTATTTGTTATTCAGGCTATCATGCAGCTTATGCTATTTCATAATCACCTGCCCCTCCCTGGTAGAAGAAGTTATTGGCTACCCTGCTTAGTTGCTTCCCTGTTGTATCTCTTACGAATGCATAATAACCATATGATATGAGGTAAGATGCAAAGACGGGGCTCTTTTGGTCCATTGATTGATTCTAGGTGCTTTAGTGTTTACCAGATGCTTGAGCACATAGCTCTTTGTATGCATTATCTTATTTAATGCTCTTAACAACTCAGTGAGCTAAGTGATATTATTTACCTCCATTTGACAGATGGGGAGACTGAGGCCCAGAGAGGTTAAAAACCATAACCAAAGTGACGTAGCCAGTAAGTGGCAGCCAGGACTTTAACACTGGTTGCTGGCTCCAGAGGCCACGTGCTCTGTTGCCTCTCAAGAAAATGGAGAGGCTAGTCAAGGTCTCACATACATTCCTGCTCCTTACTTCTCTGTTATACAGCGCTTGGTAGATGTTACCGGACTAAAGTAACCCACCACTTTATTCATAGTGTCAATACTGGGATCTGACTAGAGGAGAGAAGGAAGGAAGAGATGCTGTAGCCTTGGGTGTAACCTGGGTCCACAGTGGGCCTACTGGTGGCCACTCCTGGGGTTAAAGGGAGTATTGAAGACAGGTGATTGGAATGAGATCCCCCCTGGCCACCTCCCTACTGTGGCAGCCACAATCAAATATTCCCTCTTATCTTTTTCTCTCTCCACTCCTCCCGCCCCCAAAAAAGAGGGAAGCAGTGGTTTTTAGGAAATTTCCTAAAATAGCCTAAAAAATATCAAACTGACTTTTGACCTTGAAACGATTTCCCAAAGGGAGGTAGTAAGAGGAAAAGGAAGAAAGAAGGAGGTCCTGATGCCGCAGAAGCTGGGGGTTTGGAGGCTTAGCCCTCAGGGGTCAGACACCCGAGTGGGCTGCTAGCTGCAGGGGAAGGTGAGCACGCACCAGCAGGGCTGAGTGGGCCGAGTGGGCCGCGGGGCCGCGATTCCCAGCAGCTGTGCGGAGGGCCATTCGCCAGCTTAACGGATTCAGCTGAAGGCAAATAGAAAGAGTCCCCCAGATCTCAGAGAAACAAGCTTTTGGGGCAAGTTTCAAAAATAAAACATCTCAAATTCTAAGGCCAGTTTGTTAGGTTTTTTAAAGTAGAAGTTTATTTTTAAGTACCGTGAACATATTTTGCAAACATAGAATGAGGACACAGAGTTTGACAACTATGAATCAACTGTGCGGCCACAGGACAAAACATCTGAAAATGAGACCAAGAAATACAGCTTTGCCACGGTTAAGGGCTAGTCTCTGAGCTACAGGAACCATCCAAAGGGTGAGGAATAAGCCTTCCATTTTGCTTCCCTCTTCTAGGAAATGCGTCATTGCCATTGCATTTTACCTGAGTTTTGTTGTTGTTGTTGTTAGCTTGCTTCCTATAAGGCCCACTTATTAAGTGTTCTTGTGGAAGGTTCTATTACAGGAATAAAATCCCTGACTGAAGGAGTTAGAACCGAAGAAAAACTCTGTTACAAAGATTTTTGAACAAATTAGAGAGAGACACAAGTTCAGCATCTGGGCCAATAGCTTGCGCTCACTTTTTTTTTTTTTTTTTTGGTGTGTACTAATTAACGAGTAGAAACATGAATGAGTATTGTGCTTTCCCAATGAGGAAATGTACCGTATATCATGGTGGAAAGAAGCATTGGAGCTAAAAGAGTAGAGCTGCTGGAAGCTCAGATTTGGGAGTCAGGGCCGGTGTTAACCATCACCTCCACTGGGAATCTGGGCTACTTGGTAACCACTTACACTAAACCCAGGTTCCCTTGGCCATGTATTGGGGACAAGAATCTGAGTGTATTACAGAGGTGCTGAAGATTAAATGAGATCATGTATAGCAAGAGCTTCACCAAGTTTCCAGCACAGCGGTCCGTAGGCCAGGCTGACAGTTCTGTGGGGCAATTTGAAGAAAAGGAGGTTTCAGGATATAGGAAAAGAATGAGAAGTTGAACAGGGTCATGGCCAATGGTAGAGATGCTGTGGAGCTGGACACGGACCAAGAAGAGAGGCCAGGGGAAAATCTGGGGAAGAGCTCTGATGTGTGGGGCGGGACCTTTGATCCTTGCGCCCCAGGAAGCCAAAGCTCATGGTGGCATAGCCATGCCATAGCCAAAAATGGCACGTTTGGCTACGAAAGAGCTCAATGAGGTGGCTACTGCTAGGTGCCTGTAACACAAGACTGTTTAGAATAGTAACGGAGACCATTTAAAAATGTATGAGGTGAGTTTTGGCAGTTACCCACCTGAGTATAAAGAGTCTACTCTATTTTGCCTTGTTATAATTGCTTTTATTCTCCCTGTGATCCTGGATTTAGGATGCCCATCTCAACCCAAATAATGAACTAAAGCTAGACATACTTGCATTTCTTTTCGGGAGGTTTCTCTGCTGATTTGCTAAAATCTTTCTTGGGTTTTCAGATTTTAGCTCAGTACTTATTTTGAAGCTCCTACTCGCTATCAATACAATTCTTCCTCACAAAACCCTAAAGTGAAAAATAGAAGTCCTGAGTTTTAGTCTCTATTCTCATGAACTTTGGAAATTTGAACAAACAAGTCACGTAAACTGTATGCCACTCAGTCTACAGTTTATAAGATTTAAATTCTGTCTCCTACCCTACCCACTTTACAACACTTTGAAGATAAAATCAAAGAAAATATATGGGGATTTCTGGAAAAGTACTGTACAAACAGTTGCTTCAGGTGAGGGAATGAGGAGCCATGTGACAGGGAATGACAGACCTACTGACATTAGCATTAGGGTCAGTGAAAATGGTTTGGGCAGGAGGTAGGAAGGAAAACAGAAAGTGAAAGTTACAGTAGGATCAGATAAGAGAACACAAGATCCGATCTGTAATGCTGCAAGAATGGAAGAGAAGCGAGTGTGCTGATTGACCCTCTAGTAGCTGGCTTGATCTGAGTGAAGTACGGTAGCTAAAACCTGCACCATACTCGTAACTTGTTCCTAATTAAAGGACATGAGAAATTATCTTACTCTGGGGCCTGTTGCTATGATTCTTGTCTTTTTAAATTGTTTGGTTGAGAATTGGTGCTTTGAATAGCCTCTCATTTTCTGTGCAAGGCACCACACTTTGAATCCAACTGGGGCTAGGAAGATGGCCCCTACCCTTCACTGGCCCTATCTTTTCTGACTCTCCCCGCTACTGTCTATGCCTCCCCCAACACCCACCTGATGCAGGGTGTTTGGAGAGAGTGAAGAGCCAGCAGTCACGTGTGACGCTG